TTGAAAAATAAGTGCATAATGCTTTTTTTTTAATTTATATGAAGTTTTTAACAGCTACATCTGTAATTTTAACGAATTGTGGTCGAGAATCGTTTGTAGTTGATTATAGTTTTACATTTTTTTTTAGTTTAAAAATAAGTGCATAATGCGTTTTTTTTTTAAATTTATGTGAAGTCTTTTACAACTACAGCTTTAGGTTTAATGAATTCTTTTCTAGAATCGTTTGTAGTTGATTGTAGTTTTAATTTTTTTTTTAGTTATAACATACATAAGTGCGTAATGCGTGTTTTTTATGAAGTTTTTTCAAGATACAGTTTTAATTTTAATGAATTCTGGTCTAGGATCGTTTGTAGTTGATTGCAGTTTAAATTTTTTTTTAGTTGAAAAATAGGCGCGTAATGCGTTTTTGTTTTAAGTTAAATGAAGTTTTTTACAAAGACAGCTTCAATTTTAATGAATTCTGGTGTAGAATCGTTTGTAGCTTTAAAATTTTTTTAGTTGAAAAATAAGTGCATAATGCGTCTTTTTTTAATTTATATGAACTTTTCTGCAGCTACAACTTTAGTTATAATGCGTTTGAAAAATAAAAGCCTAATGCGTTTTTTAGAAAATTTATATGACATATTACAGCTACAGCTTTTATTTAATGAATTATGGTCTAGAATCGTTTGTAGTTGATTGTAGTTTTAAAATATTTTTTATTTCAAAAATAAGTGCGTATTGCGTTTTTTTTAATTTATATGAAGTTTTTTTACAGCTGCAGCTTTTATTTTAGTGAATTCTGGTCCAGAATCGTTTGTAGTTGATTGTACTTTTAAATTTTGTTTTTAGTTGAAAAATAAGTGCGTAAGAGGTTTTTTTTTAATTTATACGAAGTTTTTACAGCTACAGCTTTAATTTTAATGAATTCTGGTCCAGAATCGTTTGTAGTTGATTGTACTTTTAAATTTTGTTTTTAGTTGAAAAATAAGTGCGTAATGCGTTTTTTTAATTTATATGAAGTTTTTTTATAGCTACAGCTTTAATTTTAATGAATTCTGGTCTACATACTGGTTGTAGTGATTGTTTTTTATTTGAAAATTAAGTGCATAATGCGTTTTAAAAAAAAATTATATGAAGTGTTTTACAGCTGCAGCTTTTATTTTAGTGAATTCTGATCCAGAATCGTTTGTAGTTGATTGTAGTTTTAAATTTTCTCTTTAGTTGAAAAATAAGTGCGTAAGACGTTTTTTTTTTTACTTTATACGAAGTTTTTACAGCTGCAGCTTTAATTTTAATGAATTCTGGCCCAGTATCGTTTGTAGTTGATTGTAGTTTTGAAATTTCTTTTTAGTTGAAAAATAAGTGCGTAATGCGTTTTTTTTCAAATTTATATGAAGTTTTTTTCAACTACAGCTTTAATTTTAAAAAATTCTGATCTCGAATCGTTTCTAGCTGATTGTAGTTTTAAATGCTGTTTTAGTTGCAAAAATAAGTGCATAATGCGTTTTTTTAAAAATTTATGTAAAGTTTTTTACAGCTACATCTGTAATTTTAACGAATTCTGGTCGAGAATCGTTTGTAGTTGATTGTAGTTTTAAATTTTTTTTAGTTCAAAAATAAGTGCGTACTGCGTTTTTTTAAATTTATATGAAGTTTCTTTCAGCTACAGCTTTAATTTTAATGAATTCTGGTCTAGGATCGTTTATAGTTGATTGTAGTTTAAATTTTTTTTAGTTGAAAAATAAGCGCGTAATGCGTTTTTGTTTTAATTTAAATGAAGTTTTTTACAAAGACAGATTTAGTTTTAATGAATTCTGGTCTAGAATCGTCTGTAGCTTTAAATTTTTTTTTAGTTGAAAAATAAGTGCATAATGTGTTTTTTTATTTTTTTGCAGCTACAACTTTAGTTATAATGCCTTTTTAAAAAAAAACAGCTTTAATTTTAATGAATTCTGGTCTAGAATCGTTTGTAGTTTGTAGTTTAAAACTTTTTTTTAGTTGTAGCTTTCTCATACTTGCACTGTATTACACTAAAATTTAATGGGCTAAAAAACTGCATACTCAACTTTTTTCTAGAGAGCGTAAGTAAAAAGTGCAGTGTTTGAATGAAATTTTGCAGAATTTTCTTTAATTTTGCCTAAGGCTTGGAACTCTGATGTTTGTGGGCTTTGTCATAGAATTAACCATATTTTTATAAAAAATTTGCGAAATATTAAATATTTATAAAATAATTGCCCGTATTGTAAAAAATTCGCTGTTCCTAAACTTTATTGACTGACAGTAAGTGCGTAATGTGTTTTTGTTTCTTAATGTATATGAAGTTTTTTCCAGCTACAGTTTTAAATTTTATGAATTCTGGTCTAGGATCGTTTGTAGTTGGTTTTAGTTTATTTTTTTTTTTTAATTTTAAAATAAGCGTAATGCGTTTTTTTTTTTAATTTGAATGAAGTTTTTTACAAAGACAGTTTTAATTTTAATGAACTCTGGTCTAGCATCGTTTGTAGTTTTAAAATTTTTTTAGTTGAAAAATAAGTGCATAATGCGTTTTTTTTTTTTTTATATGATGTTTTTCACAGCTACAGCTTTAATTTTGTAGTAGTGTGTTTAATGCGTTTTTTGTTAATATATATGAGTTTTTTTACAGCTACAGCTTTAATCTTAATGAATTCTGGTATAGAATCGTTTGTACTTGATTGTAGTTTAAAGTTTTTTTTTAGTTGCAAAATAAATGCATAATGCGTTTCCTTTAAATTTATATGAAGTTTTTCCCAGCTACAGTTTTAATTTTAATGAATTCTGGTCTAGGATCGTTTGTAGTTTATTGTAGTTTGAATTTTTTTTTTAGTTTTAAAATAAGTGCGTAATGCTTTTTTTTTTTATTTTGTATGTAGTTTTTTGTAGCTGCAACTTTAATTTTAATGAATTCTGGCCTAAAATCGTTTGTAGTTTAAAAATTTTTTTAGTTGAAAAATAGGTGCATAATGCGTTTTTTTAAATTTATATGATGTATTTTACAGCTACAGCTTTAATTTTGTAGTAGTTTGTATAAAGTAGTAGCTGCAACTTTAATCTTAATAAATTCTGGTCTAGATTCGTTTGTAATTGATTGGAGATTTAAATTTTTTTTAGTTGAAAAATAGCTGCGTAACTCGTTTTTTACAAAGTTTATATGAAGTTTTTTACAGCTACAGCTTTAATTATAATGAGCTGTGGTCTAGAATTGTAGTTGATCGAAGTTTTAAATTTTTTTTAGTTGAAAAATAAGTGCATAACGAGTTTTTTAAAAAATTTATATGAAGTTTTTTACAGCTACAGTTTTAATTTTAATGAAGTTTTAATTTTTTTTTAGTTTAAAAATAAGTGCATAATGCGTTTTTTTTTAATTTATGTGAAGTTTCTTACAGTTTCAGCTTTAATTTTAATGAATTCTGGCCTAGGATCGTTTGTACTTGATTGTAGTTTTAATTTTTTTTTAGTTGAAATATACATAAGCGTGTATTGTGCTTTTTTTAATTTATATGAAGTTTTTTACAGCTACAGTTTTAATTTTAATGAATTCTGGTCTAAGAGCATTTGTGGTGGATTGTACTTTAAATTTTTTTAGTTTTAAAATAAGTGCGTAATGCGTTTTTTACAGCCGCGGCTTTAATTTTAATGAATTCTGGTCCAGAATCGTTTGTAGTTGATTGTAGATTAACATTTTTGTTAGTTTAAAAATAAGTGCGTAATGCGTTTTTTACAGCCGCGGCTTTAATTTTAATGAATTCTGGTCCAGAATCGTTTGTAGTTGATTGTAGATTAACATTTTTGTTAGTTTAAAAATAAGTGCGTAATGCGTTTTTTTTAATTTATATGAAGTTTTTTTTTTATAGCTGCAGCTTTAATTTTAATGAATTCTGGTCTAGGATTGTTTGCAGTTGATTGTAGTTGTAATTTCTTTTTAGTTGAAAAATAAGTGCATAATGCGTTTTTTTTTAAATTTATATGAAGTTTTTTACAGCTGCAGCTTTCATTTTGCAGAAGTTTGTTTAATGCGTTTTTTTAAATATATATGAATTTTTTTACAGCTAAAGCTATAACCTTAATGAATTCTGGGCTAGAATCGTTTGAAGTTGATTGTAGTTTTAATTTTTTTTTTAGTTGAAAAATAAGTGAATAATGTGTTTCTTTTAAATTTATATGAAGTTTTTTACAGCTACAGCTTTAAATTAAATGAATTCTGGCCTAGAACCGTTTGTAGTTAATTGTAGTTTTAATTTTTTTTTAGTTGAAAAATACATAAGTGCGTAATGTGCTTTTTTTAGTCAATATGAGGTTTTTCCATGGTTTTTCAATTTTTCCATTTCCATTTTCCATTTCAAGTCAAGTGAAAAGAGTGCATCCGTTTGCGGAATTTTAAATGATTTAGAGAATACTTTATCGGGAAATGTAGCTTAAAAAATTTGGGCCTAAAAAGATGATATTCTTAAAATAGATAAGATGAACTTAAAATGTTTTGTTTGTTCACAGATTTTCACACAATGTGAAATTCTTTTTAATCATATAAAAAATGTCCATACTTTATCAACAAATGAATTGTTTATATGTGGATTTTGTAACTGTAATCAAACTTTCACATCTTTCAAAGCATTTTGTTAACACATGCGAAGGGAAAGTAAGAGATATTGTACAACAACCAATTTATTTAATTTAAATTATTCAAATGAAATCTTAAATACTGACACAACTATTGTTCCTGCTTAACAAAGTTGTGAACATATAAGTAGCGGTCACAGTAACACTTCTTATTTGTCAGTAGATAGTATGAAAGAAGGTTGTTTGAAGTTTTCTTGAAATAATTATTCTAAAAAGAAAATTCCGAGAAAAGAAACAATTGAATTGCAAAAAGAAGTCACAAACTTCATTATTTATCCAATAAGGAACGAAATAACAAATATTTTGAATAATTTTGACGCACGAAATCCGTCAGATGTAAAAAACTGTATAAAAAAATTGGTTTCATTTTGTAGCGATCCATTTGAAGAAATAAATTCTGAATACAAACTTATCAAAACTCTAGAAGAAATTTATCTATACGAGACTCCTAAAATTATTCAAATTGACAATTCAATTCGCTGTTTGCAAATTAAACATGTTAGTAAGCTTGATGCTACTGTAGTAAAAGGTATACTATTCCCTATCAAATTTCAAATCAGGAAATTCTTTGAAATACCAGATGTGTATGAAAGTTTTGCTGAAAATATGACGACCTTATCAGTTGATTATTCAACTCTAAAAAAACTTCATTAATGGCAAATTATGGCAAAAAAAAAACAAAAAATTATCCCGTAAAATTTGTAATTCCTTATTTACTCTATTTCGACGATTTCGAAGTCAACAAACCCTTTGGGTTCGTACTGTACATCTCTTTTGGCAACTTATTACTCATTTATTACAGCTCCAGTTACTATTAAGCACAAACTATTTACTGTATTCATTGCAGCTCTATTCAAATCGAAAGATGTTAAAACTTTCGGTTATCCCAAAGCATTTTTTAAATTGATAGAAGTCCTCAACGACTTAGAAGAGAATGGTATAGATATAAAAACTTCAAGTGGAAATAAACGAGTCTTTCTTTGCTTGGGCTTAATAATCGGAGATAACTTAGCATTAAATAATACTCTCGGCTTTTCTGGATCTTTTTCCTCAAACTATTTTTGCAGATTTTGTAAAGTTAATAAAACAGAAACTAGATCAGCGTTTATGGAAGAGTTTGAGAAATTGCGAAATAAAATAAAATATGATGAAGACATTTCACAGAATGATTTTGGAAACACAGAAAGAAAATTGAATTTTTAATAAAATACATAGTTTCCATGTTACAGAAAATTATTCTGTTGATATATTACATGATATCTTCGAGGGCGTATTGAAATATAGTTTTTGTAACATCATCCTGCAATATATCAATAAGAAAACTTTTGATTTGGAACTTTTAAATCTTCGGAAACAAAATTTTAACATTGGCGAAACGGAAAATGGGAGGTAATCATCTCCTCTGCAGTTGCATCACATTAAATCATTTCATTTATTGACATAGTAGAAAGAGATGATGTTTTGTGGAAATTTGTTTTAAATCTTATAGAGCTATTAGACTTGTTGCTATTATCTGAATATACGAGCTTAGATATAATAAATTTAAAATCTCATATATCCGCTCATAACAGCGAATATGTGAAGCTTTTTAACGACACTCTAAAACCAAAATATCATCTTCTTATCCATTACTGTAGAGTTCTTGAATATTCTGGTCCCTTTAAAATTGCTGTGGACGTTACCTTTTGAATCTAAACATAGAGAATTGAAAGAATATGCAAAAAATATTACTTCAAGAAAACACTTAACGCTGTCTTTAGCACTAAAGTTTTCAGTAATATTTTCCAAAACTATTAGCAATTTTGAAAACACCGATTGTTTTCTTGGCAAAACAAAAAGCTTCTTGTATTGGATACAATTAAAAACTATGTTTAATGAGGACCAACTGAGCGAGTGTATATGTTTTTTGAGTTTAAAACGGTATAATACATTGTATAAAAGGAATTTTATTATTATTTATTATTTTTTTTTATGATCCTAATTTTTCCGCTTTTCAAATACTTGAGATTTTCGTAATGAATGAGAAAACTATCTTATTTTGCGAAAAAATGAATACACTAACGTATAATCCAAATTTTTTGTTATACGAAGTCGGCTCCAGAACCTCTGATTTTAAACTCTTCAACATAAATGAATTAAAATATCCACCAATTCATCTCTATGCAGTTCAAAATCAATCATTTTTGAGACCAAAACACTTCTTTTAATGCACATATTTATTTGTAAATCCCCTTTATGTAATTATTACTTATTTCTTTTGTACTTTGCGTAATAAAAACAAATATATACATCCATAAATGGGAAACTAACCGAGTGTTTTATTTTTAATGCAGAAAATACTCCACATTTTGAGAATACTTTCCTTAAAAGGCACGAAAATTTAACTCATTTTTAAGAAACCTTTCCCACGAGAATAAGAAATGCTTCTTAGACTGTTTCCTCCGTTTTAGGAAATTTTTTTTTGGGTACAGTTTTAATTTTAATGAATTCTGGTCTAGGATCGTTTGTAGTATATTGTAGTTTTTTTTTTTTTTTTTAGTATTAAAATAAGTGCGTAATGCGTTTTTTTAAATTTGTATTAAGTTGTTTGCAGCTGCAGCTTTAGTTTTAATGGATTCTGGTCTAAAATCGTTTGTAGTTTTACATTTCTTTTTGGTTGAAAAATAAGTGCATAATGCGTTTTTTTTTTAATTTATATGAAGTTTTTGTACAGCTACAGCTTTAATTTTAATGAATTCTGGTCCAGAATGGTTTGTAGTTGACTGTAGATTTAAATTTTCTTTTAGTTGAAAAATAGCTGAGTAATGCGTTTTTTATGACAACATCAAGGCGCACGCCACAAACCGGAGGAGAAGCTCGGCCAAACACTAACATATGTGTAAGCGCCAATCTATTATTATTATTATTATTATTAATGCGTTTTTTATAAATTTTATATGAAGTTTTTTACAGCTACAGCTTTAGTTATAATGAACTCTGATCTAGAATCGTAGTTGATCGAAGTTTTGAATTTTTTCTTAAATAAAGTGCATAATGCGTAATTTAAAAAAATTTATATGAATTTTTTTACAGCTACAGCTTTAATTTTAATGAGGTTTTAATTTTTTTTTGTTGAAAAATAAGTGCATAATGCGCTTTTTTTAATTTATATGAAGTTTCTTACAGCTATAGCTTTAATTTTAATGAATTCTGGCCTAAGATCGTTTGTATTTGACTGTGGTTTGCCTTTTTTTAATTTATACAAAGGTTTGTACAGCTACAGCTTTAATTTTAATGAATTCTCGTCTAGAATCGTTTGTAGTTGATTGTAGTTTAATTTTTTTTCTAAGTTAAAAAATAAGTGCATAATGCTTTTTTTTTTAAAGTTATATGAAGTGTTTTACAGCTACAGCTTTAATTTTAATGAATTCTGGTGTAGAATCGTTTGTAGTTGGTTGTAGTATACATTTTTGTTTAGTTTTAAAATAAGTACGTAATGCGTTTTTTTTTAATTTATGTGAAGTTTTTTACAGCTACAGCTTTAGATTGAATGAATTCTGGTCTAGAATCGTTTGTTGTTGATTGTAGATTTACAATTTTTTTTAGTTGAATAATAAGTGCATAATGCTTTTTTTAAATTTATATGAAGTTTTTTACAGCTACAGCTTTAATTTTAATGAATTCTGGTCCAGAATCATTTGTAGTTGATTGTAGTTTTAAAATTTTTTTAGTTGAAAAATATGTGCATAGTGCGTTTTTTTTAATTATATGAAGTTTTTTACAGCTACAGCTTTCATTTTAATGAATGCTGGTCCAGAATCATTTGTAGTTGATTGTAGCTTTAAAATTTTTTTTAGTTGAAAAATAAGTGCGTAATGCGTTTTAGTTTTAAATTTATATGAAGTTTTTTACAGTTAAAGCTTTAATTTTGATGAATTCTGGTCTAGAATCGTTTGTAGTTGACTGTAGTTTAAAAATTTTTGTTTTATTTGAAAAATAAGTGCATAATGCGTTTTTTTAAATTTAAATGAAGTTTTTTACAGCTACAGCTTTAGTTTTAATGAATTCCGTTTAGAATCATTTGTAGTTGCTTGTAGTCTACGTTTTTTTTTAAATTTAGATGAAGGTTTTTACAGCTACAGCTTTAATTTTAATGAATTCTGGTCTTTTAAACTTTTTTTGGGTTGAAAAATAAGTGCATAATGGGTTTTGTAAAAAATCCATATGAAGTTTTTTACTGCTACAGCTTTAGTTTTAATGCATTATGATCCAGAATCATTTGTAGTTGATTGTAGCTTTACCAATTTTTTTTAGTTGAAAAATAAGTGCATAATGCGTTTCTTTAAATTTAAATGAAGTTTTTTACAGCTACAGCTTTAATTTATTTATTTATTTATTTAGTGAAACAATCCTAATACAACAAGGGTAAACCTTACAATTATTAGAGCTAGTTACGACAGATTACAATTTCCAATATAAGACTTGCTTAGATATTTTAGTTTGCAAGTATTACCAAAAGAAAACAATCAAGTAAAAACATACAAGAAAAACAAGAAAAGTACTTACGAATTAACATTATCTGACTTAGCGCTAACATGCCTCCTTAGTTCGCATCTAAAGGTGTTCATGCTACTTATAGATATTAAATTTTGGGGAAGAGAATTTCAGAGTCGATTCACCTGCACCAAGAACTGCCTTTCTGACGTCAGTGTTTTGTATCTAGCAGCGAGTAGTTTAGAGTTTCTCACGGATTTCGTGGCAGTTATTCTGAGGGCGAGATACCCTGGTCTTTCGAGAAGTAAATTTTATGCAAAAGTAAGAGGGATCTGAACTGAAGGAGCTTATCCAGGGACATGGCATAGATTGACTCAGCAAGATGGGAAATGTGATCTCTTGCCTTTATTCCGAACGCATAACGAGTAATATTGTTAAACAGCACATTGAGCTTGTGTTTGCACGCATAATCACAATTAGCGAAAATTTCACAACCATACAATAAAGAGGGCATAAGATATGTCTTAACGATTAAAATGCGAATTCGTTGAGGGACGAAGTGTTGCGTAGACCAGAGCGCGCGAAGCATTCCGTATAGTTTTCCTACTACTAAATTTATGTGACTATCCCAAGTTAATGTTTTTTTGAAGATAATTCCTACATTTTTGGCCGTCTGTACATAATTTATACACATGCCACCAAGCATGATTTTTGGAATGGTCGAAGTATCAATGGGCTTTCGAGAGACGACAAGCACTTGTGACTTCTTAGGGTTAAGAGTTAGTGCATTGTCGGATGCACATTTGTTAATACGGCATAAGTCATGGTTGATTTTAACAATACAGTCGTACATATCATTGGGCTTGCAAGAACGATAAACCTGAACATCATCAGCATACAAGTTAGAGCTCATATCGGTAACGATAGCCTTTAGATCATTAATGTACATAGAAAAAAGAAGAGAACTAAGAATGGATCCTTGCGGAACACCCCTGCTTAGTATTAATTGAGATGATGTCAATGGCCCACTACAGACCACTTGTGATCTATTTCCTAAGTAAGAGGCAATTAACTTTAAAGAAGTAGGGGAAAGTCGTCGATGGATTCGCGAATGTCTTCAATAGCATCAGTCAGCGCAGTTATACAGTTATGTCCTTTTCGGAACCCGGATTGCCGTTTATGTAAAAGGGAGTGCTTAGAAAGAAACGCGTTTAACTGCTTATGCAAAACTAACTCAAATGCCTTCGAAAGATAGGGTAAAATTGCGATTGGTCTGAGTTCACCGTCGGCTTGAGCAATCGGCAAAATTTTAGCGGTTTTCCAACATTTTGGGAAAACGGATGTGGTTAGTATTGTGTTAAAAGAGTGAGTAATATACGGAAGTAGAACCGGTATGACAGCTTTTAGAAAAACAGGGTGTATACCATCTGTCCCAACAGCATTAGACTTAATTGAGAGAAAACATTCAAGGACGTCGGACTGATCTACACACGAAAAACTAAAACTTATATCATTTGGTAGAGAACAAGGTAGACTAATGCTAGTGTTTGTGACTGGGGGTGCCGAAATATTTACAAATTTTTTATTTAAAGAATCAAGATCTTCCGAAGCTTGAAAACTGTTAACTTTAATCTTACCAAGACCGATAGTTTTGATTTTTTGCCAGGTTTGTTTGCTACCGATTGCCTTTGCAAAATTATTTTCAAAATACTTGGCTTTGGCACTTCTAACCATTTTAACAACCGCCTTCCTTAAAACTGTAAACTGATTGTGAAAATCCATCGTTCTATATCTTTTCCAACGATCATACATTTTATTCCGATTCTCGATAGCTTTTTTAATTTCCGAATTAAATCAAATGTTTTCATAAACTCGCCTAATCTTTGTATTAATGGGAACATGCGTGTTAAATAGTTTTAATAAATTCTGCTGTAAATATTGCGTTTGGTCATCAGTAGATGCCAATTTCTTTACATCGTGCCAATCAATTTTATTTACGTCACTGTTAAGTTTAACATAGTCTATGTCAAGGGTTGTTAAACTTTTAAGATGATGGAACCCTTACTAAACACCTTTCATTTTATGGAACCTCACATCAAATTACTAAAAATCAAAGGCAGTGCAATTCAAATATGAATAAAAACTTTACTAGAAATAGTATACATACTTTAAATTTTAATGTGAAGAAAGAAATTGTTTCACTGTTATTAATTATTGTATAAAATAGTACTTCGATATAATGTCTGAAAGCTGTATGAGCATTTCTGGGGTAGCATCCAACTTTGACCTGAATCTGTTTTTTATATAAGTGTAAGCGGAAAACCCTATTGACAGAGTACGATGTGACAGAAGGAAGCAAAGTACCAAACCGATATTACTACTACCATCCGAAAAATAATCTGACTAAGACTTCAGGTGATTTACCAAGTGCCTAGTCATGACACTTCACATTTCATTTGGCAATTCATCGCGTTCCTTGTAGAAAGTTGTGTATAACCCTTTGGCTACAGCGGCCAACAACAAATACCGGTTAGAAAAAAAAACCAAGCTAGCAAGCGTAAGCTCAACGCTCTTATGTAGGTATGGCACTCAGTACGGCAATCATACCAACTACGGGTACATACATATGTATGTATACTTGAAAACAGGGTTGGAAAATTCAAGTACAAGTACCAGTACAATCAAATTACCCGGTAATTAAAAAAAATAAATACCAAGTATACTTTTATTCGTAATTGGTAATGAATACCCATTTTTTAATTCTTTTGCAATTACTTTCAACTACTTTTAATTGTATGCATTATTTTTAATTGAAATTGATTTTTGAATAATCACTACAAATATTTTGTAAATAGTACTATGATCAACAAACTCAAACAAAAATTCGTTCACCTTTATACATATGTCCATAAATAAACTTAAACTACAAAATATTTTTTTTTTCTGTTTTGAAAAAACTTAACACACAGTCACACAATTATATCACTTCTGTTGAAAAATAATCACAACGAATTCAAAAACTCACGCAAAAGCTACCTAGCAAGGCAGGATAAACAAAAAACATAGATTAATCACTGAAATGAAGAGTTTGCTTTCATTAAAACTAGGTTTTCAAATGAAAAATCGGTTAGCCGTTGTCATCTTGCGTTGTTAACGACATTAGCTATGGAAAACATCCTCCTCTCGATTGCAGCTGCTGATGACAGTGGAGTGTTCATTTGCAATGATACATCACGGAGTAAAGGATATTTTTCCAAACTTATAAAAGACTTACTTCGATCGTGCAAGTATTGACAAAATTGTTCAGCGACCACATCTGAAAGCGTTGGATAAGTTGACGGTGACGAACTTATAGCAGCAGGTTGGCTTGATTCTATGCCTATGTCATCTGAAATTTTTTCAATAATGTAATAATAATAATACCCCAACGGTTTTTACCCTCCATTCCCGCCCATCCGCACGAGGAGCGCAGTCCGCATGACGTACGGAACCAATATTTTAAATTTTTGTGCCGAGTCACGATAGGCAGGCGTTTGTTAAGTGTCGAGATCTAAAACTGTTCAGCTACAGAACTAAATTCATCAGCTGATTTTATGTATATATGTCAATAATTCACTTATTGAGAGAGGAGAGTATCGCTTTCTTAATGCTGAAAAGCGGATCTGATATATCAAACGTGCTGGAATGAGAGTTAAAATCCTGGCATAAGCAACGGAGTGGGTCGTGCAATTCAAAATTGGTTTTACAAGCTTTCAGAAATATGGGACAAAAGTGTCTTGATACGCGTGAATTTCGTAAACTCCAAGCGAAATGTACGTGGGTTTCCTTCCAAACAAACAATTTCTAACATGTTCGCTCAGTTTTTTAAATCCAATTATTCCACTAACTCCCAAGCATACTTTGACTATCCTTTTAAACTAAGTCCAATTAACTCAATACATAACCCTATAATATCTCCCGATGATGTTTTAGTTTACCTGAAGTCCTTAAAGCAGTCTTTTAGTTATGGTCCTGACCAGATCCCCACTTGTTTTCTTAGAAATTGTGCTGATTATCTCTATGAGCCGTTAACAGCCTTATTTAATTTGTCTCTTAAAGAGGGCGTTTTTCCAACTGTATGGAAGGAATCGTTCATAACCCCCTTACATAAAAGCGGTAGCAGGTCTTCAGTGGAGAACTACCGGGGCATAGCTAAGC